GATGACCTCTAAGGTTCTTTCCAGCTCTAGATCTATAATGCTTTTATAGAGTGCTATGAAAGGATAGGGTGCTGTTGACTCCCAAACAGACTATATTCCCATGGTGCTCAGGTTCCATGATTGTACCAATCCCATCCTTTATAGCATTGTGATTATGGGAATGATAGAGAAACTGAGTTAAATCAAATGAGTCTAAGCAGGCCTATTTCATTCTATGGCCTTATCTCTGAGCTGAATGTTCCTTCTCCAGATCAAGTATCTTATGCTCATTTCTCTGGAAATAACAGGGTGGCTTAGAATCATGAAATTTTAGACATAGAAGGTACAACAATATTTTAAATGTTACCTAGTATACAAAACATTGTGCTAGGTGATAAGGAGATATAATAATGTTTAGATAAAGTGTGATCTCTGACCCCAAGGAGCTTACTGTTTAAGGTACCTTAGAAGTCCTCCAGTCCAAACCTCTAATTTTATGGATGGCACAGCTGAGGCTCAAAACAAGAAGTGACTTCTTCAAGGTCAGAAAACAAGTTAGTGGTGGAGCTGGAACCCACTCACTTTATAACATTTCTTGATTCCCAGATCAAGGCTCTTTCTAACACATGAGTTTGCTTGAGATATTAAAAAAATAAGTCACAATCCTACAAGGTATAGCTCCTCATAGGAGTCCTCCTCATATGGAGCCTGGCCTAGTGAATTTCTCATAACTCAAGATTCCCATTGGCCTCAGCCCCAGTATTCCTTTAGCTCATTCCTAACTGGGAATCTTGCTCATAGCCAAAGCCTCCTAGCCAAATTCATGTATTCAGCCAAATATATGATTCCTACTAGCCCTTTATTTCCTCGTAATATCCTCCCACCCTGTTTTCTAGTTGGAGGCATGAATAATCAGTAAATCTTCTTCAGAGGCTCTGAGTTTGAATTCTAATTCTATTACTATCTGTGTGACTTTTGAACTCTAATCTCTTCACCTTACTGGATTTTGATTTCCTCAACTGCAAAATGAAAGTATTGACCCGATGGTCTTTAAAGCCTCTTCAGACTCTCTTCTAATTTCAGCTAAGCAGATAAAGAGCACAATGACATGCTTAATCACTCACTCAATCAACCAGTATTTATTAATTGCCTGCTATATATCAAGCACTGGGCTAGGGGATAATTAAAAAAATGAAACCCCTTACCCTCTTCAGATGTGTACTTAGGAAATTCTTAAATAACATCTCCCCCTCCTCCTTATTTCTGTTGTTGTTTGAAGTTTGTAGTCCTCCTCACAAAAAAATTTATGTCAGCACCATGGGAGGAGTTAGTAGTAGTAAAACCAATCAGCACCATGGCTAGGGAACGCATCTCTCCTAGGATGTGTAACACCAAGAAATCATGAAAATCGATCGAGGCAAGTGCAGAGAAAAAGAAAAAGACCTTTTGGTTTATGCAGATGTCCCATATGAAAAGGGCTAAAATCTGGAGTGAAAAAGCCAAATTTCCAGTGGGACAAAGGCTACAGGAGTGATGTGAGGGTGTCCAGGCTCTTGGACTGCTGCTTCTGATTGGGAATGAGAAAGCAGAAAATGGGGTTGTGGGCTGGGACATGAGGTTTTTATAAGGAAGGTGACTTTGATGAGCAAGTCTAATTTTGTAGGAAAGGTATATACCCACACATACACACACAACTATTTCATTACTTCTGTAGGCAAAGAGCTGACTCATTTATAAAGGCAGCTCTTCATCAAAACCGTACAGGCTTCTCATTTAGCAGTGTGAGCAAATATTGCCTGAAGTTATTTTAGATAGTAGTGAGTTCAAAGTTTAAAAGCAGAGACTTTACTGAAGTCCTTTCTGTACATCATTTTCCCAAGTAAGAAAGTGCTTTATTTCCTTCTGTGAATAAACATCTCATTTTACTCTCCAAAGAGTCTTCTTTAAATTTCACAAAGTAAATTACAAACATTGTTTCATTAAATCATCACAGCACAACCTTGTAAAGTGGCTACTATACTTACTACTCCCACCCCCCCAAATTACAGATAAGGCCACTGAGGCTTAGTGAGATCACCAAGGCCACATAGCTGGCAAGGTAGGAGTTGGAATCTAGCTCTCTTCTGATTGCAAATGTAGTGCTCTTTGTCAGAGTTACTCCCTTAAGAGCTTAAGGGCTGTGATCCTTAGATGTTATCTACTCCATTCCTCTCTTTTTATGGATGAGGCTCAGGGGGAAGAAGAGACTTTGCCAAAGTCACATAAGCCTCACTTTATAGAGAGGACTCCTGGTGCTCTTTAAGAAGCATCAACAACTTCTGGTCTAACTAACCACAACTTGTAATAATTACCTAATGGACTCATAGTTGAGTTTCCTCTTGCATCTGGGTTGGGAGTTAAATAATCCCAATTCATAGGTGTTATGCAGATCACAAGATTTAGAGACTTCATAGAACATTTTTTCTTACTTTATTTTTGGTGAGGCAGTTGGGCTTGAGTGACTTGCCAAGGGTCACACAACTAGTAGGTGTCATGTGTCTGAGGGCAGATTTGAGCTTGGGTCCTCCTGACTCCGAGGCCAGAGCTCTAGCCACTCGCCACCTGGCTGCCTCTATAGAGCATTTGAAAAACTTCGTATTCCTACCTAGCTCTTAGCACAGTGCTGGTGGCACAGAGTAGGCATTTGATAAATATTTATCGTATTGTATTATATTACCTTGGCCATTCCCCTCATTTTACAAGCGAGGAAACTTTCTGAGCTGGTATTATTTTCTGCCCCTAGTTCTTTAGTCACCTTCAAGGGCTTGCTGTCTCTGAGCTGTCTGTTTATTCACAATACATACATATATGGCAGAGACAAACTGATTTAGTAAAAACATTGGACCTGGAGTTGGGAGCACTGAGTTTTTATCTTGGATTTGATATTTACTAGCTGGGTGATTGCAGGCAGGTCATTTCATCTCTCTTTCCCTCAGTTTACATTAGTAAAATGGGTATAGTAATACCTGTACTGCCTACCTCACAGGGTTGTTTTGAGGAAAGCACTTTTAAACCTTAATGCCTTTAGAAAGGGAAGTTATAATTATCATTATAATTATAGTAGCCTATAGTAGTCCTTGAGTTTGAGCAGTGTTGAATGTCATGGTAAGGGCTGCTAGGTGGCACGGTAGATTGCCTGGCTTGGAGCTAGGAAAACTCATTTTCCTGAGTTCAAATCTGGCCTCAGACACTTACTAGCTGTGTGACCCTGGACAAGTCAAGTGACAAGTAACCTTGTTTGCCTCAGTTTCCTCCTCTGTAAAATGACCTGGAGAGGGAAATGGCAAACCACTCCAGTATCTCTGCCAAGAAAATCCCAAATGGGGTCATGGAAGAGCTGGACGTGACTGAAAATGACTGAACAGCAAAAGGGATATCGTGGTAAAGTTTGTAAAATCTCAAAGAATGGTATAAAACATTTTTCTGTGTCTTTTATATTGTTGCCCTCATGCCCTTCCAGCACTTCATTGGACTTGCAGTTTGCCATATTTCCATATGCCACTTATGTGTGACCTTGAGCAAATTACCTCCTTTCTCTGGACCTTAATTCCCCTATCTTTCAAATGGAGAGTTTTCCCTAAATGCTCTCCAGGGGCTTTTCAAGGTCAGGATTCCATGACTATCATTTAAATGCTCTTTCTCTTCTCCTCTATTGTAATGAACCCGGGTCTTCCTGACTCCTGTCTGCTACTTCCAGTTGCCTTTATAAAAGTAAACAGTTTAGTACATTATGATGGATGGGAGGGAGGGCAGTTCTTGGTTTCTTCATTACATCAGGATCGTATTACTCATCCTTTATAAAATCCTGATTTTTGCTAAGCCAGTCGTTTTTACTGTCTCTGCTGAGGTGTGTTAAGGGTTTGGCTAAGTAAAAAGGCTGCTTTTTTAAGCAGGGAAGCTCCTTTGGCAGTAATGCAAGGCCTGAAGGGGCATGCCTGCCAGTGGCAAAGAGTAGGACAGAGTTGGAGGGATACATCACACTCAGCTATATTCTAAATGTGATGTGAAGCTGTACTCACATAGCATCAGATCTGAAAAGCATCTCAGAAACTTGAGCATGGAATGTCGGGGCTGAGAGGGACCTTAGTAACTGTGATGTTTAAAAAAGATTTGAAAGACATAGTTTCTGGGTAATTTAATCATTTTGTTAATAAGGCCAGCAGGTTATTAATAAAAGGATCATCCTCTCTTAGACCAAAGACAATCATGATGGTAGATTCACAGTTTATATGCCCTTCAAAATAGTAGGTGGTCCATCAAACAGCAATCAGATCTAATTGGTTAACTGGTTGGAAGTGGGCTGTATTAAAGGGAAGGGCTGAGTATCTCTTGGACAGGGAAAGCATCTCTACCCCAGACCACCCATAGCTTTAGGCTATCAGTTCAAAGAACGTATATCCCACTCAAGTCTGAGCAGACCGCAACAGGGCTTCCCCACCAGTAGATTACATTCCTGGCCAAGTTGGGTGGGATCTGACCAAGATCAGGAAAGTTAATGCGATTTCATTATCAGTAATGTCTTTAGGAAAACTGAACTTTTTAAAATGAGGAATTTAGAAGGAGAGAGCCTCTGAATCTCCACAAGATATTGGCTGTTAATAATCATTTCTCACAAACCTTATGCCACAGAATGACCAAACTGGAAGGAGCTTTAGAATGTAGAATAAAGAATAAAGAGTAAGGAGGCATCCTAGAAAATATAGGTCCTTTGTTCAAGATCATCTCATTCAATCCCTTCATTTGGTGAAGGAGGAACCTGAGGTCTAGATAGGAGAACTGACTTGCCCAGCGTCCCACAGCAGGTCAGCAGCGGAGGAAGGATATAAAAAGGCAGGCCTCCTTACTCCCTGCCCTGTTCTTCTTTCCGTAACATCCCAGGCTTCTTAACAATGCAGTGAAAATGCAAACATGACATTTAATTGTCAGGTCGCTTTGATGTATCTATTCCCTACATGGAGACTAACAGCACATTTCTCTCGTAGGTCACTATTCTCGTCAGCCTGGCTCTGGCATTTCTTGCCTGCATTGTATTTCTGGTGGTTTACAAGGCTTTCACCTATGACCACAGCTGCCCAGATGGATTTGTTTATAAGGTAAGGGATGCCAGCCAAAGGAGTTGCCTGAGCTAATTGGGGCATTTAATTGGGTGTCATGTTACAGGCTTGTCTCAATTTGTAACTAAATAAGGTAAATAGATTGGGCGCAAGTGGGTCTGAGTGCGGGGTGAGAAGGCACCTAGTGTTATCTTTGCGTTTCTCTCTCTTTCTTCCTCAGCATAAGCGTTGCATCCCAACCTCCCTGGACGCCTATTACTCAGCACAGGATTCCAGCTCCCGGGGCCGGTTCTACACTGTCATAAGCCACTACAGCGTGGCCAAGCAGACCAGCTCCAGGGCCATCGCACCCTGGCTCTCTGCGGCAGGACCTATCAGCCACGAGTCAAAGGCTGTGAAGGCAGATGGCCACTGAAGATGCCCACCCTGGGGGAAAGAGAATGGAAGGGGGAGGGGGGAGGGGGAGGGGCCACCTGTGCTCCAGGTACCTGACAACACTGTCCTCCCAGGGTTCCACAGAGGGAGCACCAAGCCTAAGTGAACACCCAGGAGGAGGCTGAATCGATATTTACTTTGGTCCATTGTTATTCGTGGATTTGTAACTGACTCGAGCTCTTGTACAAAGGCATGTTTGGTGTTGATTGTCACAATGTAAAGTATTTTTCAAAACATTGCTTACTATTTGTTAGGGAAAAAACAAAAAAGAAAAACACAAAATGAAATGAAAACAAGTCAGTCTCCCAGAACCCTGGCCCAATCCCAGTGATACCAAGAGAAGGAAGGATCTCCTAAGGTCTTGTTAAGTGAGACTGTGGCCATGGCCTGGCAGGCTCAGGAGAATGGATACAAAGCCAGTTTTCCGATGTGTGGGGGCCAGCAAAGGGTTAGGGAGGCAGGGGGGAATCTTTCTTGCCGTGTGTGTGGGAGGGTGATCTGTAACCTGTGTGGGCCTCAACTGCCTGACCTCATTGCTTCATGGAAGCTACAGGTGGCAGGGGCAGGTAATTTGAAGAAGCGAGCTCACGTTGATAGTGGAAGTAATTAGTGACGGGGATTTGTGGCTCCTAGTGTGAACTTATCTTTTCTCTGAATGAGAGGAAGGTTTTTTGCCCACAAAACATTACCTGGAGGGCTCTTGGTACAGATACTTCAAACTGGCTTCGCCTGCAGTATTCATTCCACAGCAAGGCCAGATTTTGCACTTCAGCATACTGGGGACTGGATACCATTATTAACCAGTTATTCTTCTAGGCCTCCCATCTGCTAATTTGTTCTGGGCAGGCCGCGGTGAAGCCCGTGTGCCACAAATGGGGCATTCATTGTAGGAAAGATGAGAATAGAGTCAGGTTAGCAAGATTGCAGTGTGGGTTAGGGCTTCTCAGTAATCTCTGACAGGCTGTTGAGAAGGGTGTAGCGAAAGAGGCCTAGATCTGGTGAGGTTATCAATGCCATTATACTCAGCAACTTTGTAGAGAAAATAGTATGGTGAAACTGTAATGCCCAAAGCTATCAGCTGATTTTCTGTCCCCACCGTGATTCACCTGTAAATTCATCTGTCACTAGAAATGGGAAGCAAACAAAAAGTGACCCCCAGCAAACTGCTGAATAATTTCTAATTTTGTGGCGTATTTTTGTCAGTAGGTAGCAAAGACTGAAGTATTTTTTGGTGTAATTCTTGAACTTTTCTGAGAAGAAAAAAAAAATAAAGATAGATGTGTCTGAGAGTCCTCACCTTTCTTGACTCTGTGTCTTTTGTGCGTCCTAGTGCAGAATGAAGGAGCTGGGGGTGTGCATGACAACTAGAACAGAGGAATGCCAAGGTGCTGAGCGTGCCGTTTAGCGGGGATTGGAAAAGGATCCTGTGAACCTGACTTTGCAAACAGATCTTTCATGTGCTGCTGATCTGGGTGGGAGGCAAAAACAAGAACCATGTCCGTGGAAGGCTTGATGATGGCTGACCAGCATTCATGTAGCACCTGCTGTGTGCCAGGCACTGGGCTAAGTGCCTTACAAATGCTGTCGCGTTTGATCTTCACAACGACCTTGGGAGTACAGCTATCGTCATCATCCTCATTTTATGGGTGAGAAAAGCAAACAGAGGTTAAGTTCCTTGCCCAAGGCCGCAATTTCTCTTCCAAGACAGAATTTCAAGTTGAACGAGCTTGATTCTGAAACAGAGGTGAGGGGAATTTGCACTTGCGTAATGATTAGTGATGAAAGATCAATATTTCAGAGGGTTTCTTATAAAGGGCTGGTCTTTGGCAAAATTAAAAAATAGGACCTTTGCCTCTGCAGAGTGGAAAGGGTCCTCAGAGAGCATCTAGTGAAACCTCACTCCCTAGGGCATGCTTCCCCAACTCATGTAACTGTAGGATTTAGAGCTGGAGCAGATGTAAGAAGTAACCTAGGCCAGCCTCATTTGACAGATGAGGAAACTAAGGTTGTGATAGGCAAAACGATTTGGCTCAAATGATTTGTAGTCAGTAAGTGGGAGAACTGGACTTCAGATCCTGACTTCTGACTGCAAATCCAGGACTACGTTTCAGTTTCTAAGTCTAGTCTTAAATACACGTGCCATTTCTTAGCCTAGACTATCTGTGCCAACTGTAAAATGGGGCTAACGATAAGGGTGAAGCCATCTGCCTCACGGGCATTTTCGTTCGTTCAACAAATACTTATTGAGCATCAAGTTTATGTTAGGTGTGGTGTCTGCTGCTGGATTTGGGGAAAATAATCAAAATATAAAATGAAAATATTTTAAAAATAATCACAGACTATTACTTATCAGTGTGAAATTATTTTCAAGGCCTTGGCTAAATAAGAATTGGTAGTCCAAAGAAATTATATTTTTCTTTTTTTTTTTCACCCACGGATGGATAGGACTGAGGTTTGTTTTGTACGGTTGTTTCTTGGGATGCCACGGCTGAAACATTTTTCTCCTAGTAGCTGACCTTCTGGCAATAAGCATGGTCAAACTCAGTGAGGTTAGTCCTTAAAGAATAGATAATTCTGATGGCAGCTTGGATATGAAAAGTGGGGTAAAAGACAACATCTAGGGCCTGATGACTCCTTGCTTAGATTTGCTTCACTGCTAAGGCTTCAGTATGTGAGATCGAGGTAAATGGCACTATGCTGCCCAGTATGAATGTGCTACACCCTCTGTCCTGTGCCCACTTGCAGCCTAAGAAAAAACAGCAATGTCTCAGCCTTCTATAGCCATTAGTACCCGGTTACCAGGCCTTTCACAGCTAGAACAATAGGACCTTGTCTGAAACCAGTCTCGAGCACCAGGCCCAAACAAGAACCAAGGCTTCATATGGATGGTATCTTCGGAGTGTGTATTACCCACCACCATCTTGGTATGAATTAGAGGAACTGGCCTCAAGCGATTGGATCTCCTTGTGGGTTCAGCCCCTGTTTCCTAAGACCCTGGAGGGTGGGAGACCCAGTCAACTGGGACATACTCCATCATGTAACTAGCAAACAAACTCTCATTTCCTCCATCTCCCTTAATCTTTCTTTCTTTCTTTCTTTCTTTCTTTCTTTCTTTCTTTCTTTCTTTCTTTCTTTCTTCTTTCTTCTTTCTTTCTTTCTTTCTTTCTTTCTTTCTTTCTTTCTTTCTTTCTTTTTTTTTTTTGAGGCATTTGGGGTTAAGTGACTTGCCCAGGGTCACACAGCTAGTAAGTGTCAAATGTTTGGTCTGAGACAGGATTTAAACTCAGGTCCCCCTAAATCCAAGGCTGGTGCTCTATCCACTGCACTACCCAGCTGTCCCTCGTCTCCCTTAATTTTTGTGATTTGGAGTCATCATTTGCCGAGTTGAAAACCTTCTTCTCCTACTATCCCGTCCCTCTTTCTCATTCTCATTCACTACAGTCTTTCCTTTCCCTTGTGCCTCCCAGAACTCTGCTCAGTGGATGCCCTTCCCTTCATCATAGTCTTTTCTTTACCCTTCCACCCTCTTTTCATCTTCTTGTGCTCACATAAGCCTGGATCACTCTGGAAGACACTGTGTCCTTAGTCACTCCCTCATCCTGGGGTTTCCTCCTGTCATGATCCCCCGGCATAGGTGACCATCAAGAGTAAAAGGTGTGTACCATGTTTTCACTCCCACTTACAGACCCTCCCTGCACTCCATTCATAGATACCACACTGTATTTCTTTTCTTTCCCTTTTCCATTTTTCCAATACATAGTACTCTAAAGTTTTCTTAACATGTTGTATCATCGTCTCATTTGAGCCTTACAACAATCCTGTAACATAGGTGTTAGAGGTGCTTATTTTCTCATCTTGTTGTTGTTCAGTTGTGTCCAACTCTCTATGACCCCATTTGGGGTTTTCTGGATACTAGAGTTTTCTAGAGATACTAGAGTGATTTGCCACTTCCTTCTCCAGCTCATTTTACAGATGAGGAAACTGAGGCAAACAGAGCTAAATGACTAGGCCAGGATCGCACAGCTAATAAGTGTCTGAGGTCAGATTTGAATTCAGGAAGACTCATCTTCCTGGCTGCAGATCTGGCACTCTATCCACTGCTCTACCTACAGATAGGAAACAAAGTCTCAAAGATGAATTGTTTTGCCATGATCGTAAAGCTAGGGTATCTTATCCAGTACCCTGTCCACCATGCTGCCTCTCGATCACTGATGCAATCATTTACCATTCTCAGGGTAATTCTTTATTTTTCGAGGAATTTATTACTTGACCTTGCCAAAACCCAACCCTGATTTAACCCTCTCCATCCTATTTGTAAGTCCTATAACTAGGTTCATTACAGATTTATGTCATCTAATTTCAAATGGGACCTCACTACTGTGTGACAACCCTTTGACTCTTTCTGATTGTTATGTGATCAAACAACCATAGTTGATGTTCCAAATCTTCTTATACCTCCTAAGCCTTTTATACTCCCCAAAATTCTCTCAACAGAGGACCTTATCTCCTTTTGTAACTGAGAAAATAAATCTCATCCATTATGAGTTTTCATCTTTTCTTCCAAGTAGTTCTTTATAATTCTTCATTTTCTTCTTCTTCGTTCTAGTCTCAGATGAAGATGTGGACCTTGTTGCCAGTGGCAACACTTCTGTGGCCTTGATCCCACCTCCTCTGAGTTTACCTCTTCCAATATCACCCCTACCATCTTGAATATCTATTTACTAGCCCCTTCCCTTTGGCCTATAACATACTCGGGTGTCCCTGACCCTCCAAAAAGAAAATACTTTTCTTGACCCTGTCATCCCCTCAAACTTGGATCCTGTGTCACCTGTCCCTTTCATAACCAAACTCCTCGACAAAGTTATTCCTCACTGCTACCATTTCCTTACCTCCTACTCCTCAACCCCCTGCAATCTTATTTCTAACATTATTACTTAATGAAAACTGCCCTCTCTAAGGTCAGCAGTGCTCCCTTAAATGCTAAATCCAATAGCCTTTTCTACTTAAAATCTCTCAGCTTTTGACACTGCTCTGAATGTTCTTTCAAGGATGATACCCTTTTCTTCTTTGACTCCTATGTCTCTGACCACTCCTCAGAATCCTTGTTGGAGCATCGCCCTCTCCAGCCCCCTAGTAAGTGTAGGTGTCTGCCACTGTTCTGGGCTCTTTCCTCTTCTTTCTCTGTAGATTCTCTGTGATTTTACTACCCATGGATTCTGTTTGCAGGTAGTTCCCAAATCTATAAATCTAACCCTAAAAAATCTTCTTGAATCACAGGTCTGCCCTTGTTAGTCATCTGCCCAAAAAAATCTACAGGAGCTCCCTATACCTCTAGGATAAACTACAAACATCTCAACCTGGCATTTGAAGCCTATAAAGATCTAATGTTCTTTTCCAGATACGTTTTGCATTGATCCCCTTCATTCATTCTGCATTATACCTGGATTAGACTGTCCTTCAAACTCAACATTCTGAGTCCCAATTCTATATCTTCACACAGGCTTCAATCTCCCCTCTTTTCCCCAGCATCAAGCATTTCTTTCCTTCCTATCTTCACCTCATAATCCTTGATTTCCTTAATGCCTCAGTTCGAGTGCCACTTCATCGTTCCCTCCTTATCTCAAATTATCTTATATTTACTTAGCATCATAGAATCGGAGCTGAAGGGGACCTCTGAGGAGATCTACTCCAACCCCCTCATTTTACAGACGAGGAAGTGAAGGCCCAGGGAGGTGAGACGACTTGTTCCTAGTCTGAGGGGTACAAAGTGTCAGCTAGGATTGTGTGTGCGTGTTGTAACCCCCAGTAGAGTGTAGGTTCCTGGAGGGCAGGGACTGTTTTGTGTTTTGTGTTTGTATTCTCAGAACCAAGCTTAGTGACATGCTTAAAAAAATGTTTATTCAACTGAACTGAAATGAATTTACAAAGTTCTTTCCTCATACCATCCTCTGAGATAGGTAAGACACATTTTATGATTCTGATTTCATGGATTAAGAAATGAGGCCAAAAGAGTGACTGCCTCAAATTACAAAGTGAGTTAATGGTGAATCTGTGACGAGAATCTAGGATTAGGTGTTCTGAAGTTTGGTCCAATGCTCTTTTTTCCCCCCTACCTCTTCAGCTAGGCCCTGCCATTGAGTCTATTTCACACTCTTCTGAGGACTGCTAACATGAGATCTTCCGGTCTAGGCTTCTCAATAACACAGTATTCTGGGAGCTCAGTCCCAAGGAACTGGTTAGATTAACCCAGTAGCTATTATGGAAAAGTGTCCCAGGATGCTAAGGTGGGCACCAGA